ATACTGGCCTAGTGTATATAATGAATCCATATGTGTGATATGTACAAATGAACTGGATGATTCATTTCCTGCTCGACAAGAGTATTTTGAAATATTCATATATATCAGGATTTGCTTTCATCCAACTCATGGCAACACATTCCATATTCACAAATAATTCCAAAGGCCAATAATTGAAACTAGAGTCAGATTTACGTGACATATTAATTGGTACACAGCTTAGTTTAATATTGCACTCGATTCCCAACATACCCACAGTCCATATACATAGTGCAGACCTGACAAATGTTGCAATGTTTTCAGCAGCCACAGAAAAGTGGGTCAAAGTTGAAACCAAGAAAGTCCTAGAAGCTTTGTGATAATTGCTGACAACTCTTCTGAAAAAAACGTTTCCCTCTGCTCCTTTCCCCTTTTTTCTAGCCTGGAGTATTTCCAGATGAGAATTTTACAGCATACTGAACATTATCCAGAAGTTGCAAACTTTTGTCAAGGGCAACAGAGCTTGGGGGAAGTCTCCTGGAGGACAGCCCAGCTGACAGGAGGAGGGAGGAGGTGCACTCAGTACTGATACAGATACAGATAATCCTCGACTTACAACAGTTCATTTAGCGACCGTTCAAAGTTACAACAGCACTGAAAAAAATGACTTATGACCATTTTTCAGTTATAACCTTCGTAGCATCCCCATGATCATGTGAGCAAAATTGAGATGCTTGGCAACTTATGACCACTGCTGTGTCTCAAGGTCATGTGATCAATTTTTGCCACCTTTTGACAAGCAAAGTCAATGGGGAAGCCAGATTCACTTACCAATTATGGCAAGAATGGTCGTAAAATGGGATAAAACTCACTTAACAAATGTCTCACTTAATAGAAATTGTGGGCTCAATTGTGGTTGTAAGTCGAGAACTACCTATTCAGATGCAATAAGGCCCCGTTTGCAAAATGCCATCACCCAGCAACTATGGAGATTCTTAATCATCCAGGTCATGGTTGTCCCAAAAGTGCTTTTTTGGGAGGGTAAAAAACACCTTTGGGCCATCTTTCAATGGTGCTGCCGTGCATCTCCACATTAGCAAACAGCATGACACTGGATAAACAAGAAAGTTCGGATATCTGAAGCTGCAATACAGGAATCAAAGCGCGTTTCTTTTGTAGTGCAGATTTACTCTTCTAAGTCTATACTGCGCTTAGTTGTAAGCGCATATTTTTTTTTAAAAACCTGCAAAAATGTTACTGCTCGCCTACTCCAAATCGCAGCTAACACGGCAAGAAATCGGACTGACGCCCTAAGGCTTCCGAGCAACATACATACTGCTTGATTTGAAAGACACAAGGTAAGAAGGAATGGCTTGCTTTAATACAGCTTTTTGCAGCGCGCTTACCTCAAAGCCAAGCCAGGAATAGGGGGACACGACATCGTAGAAACACTCCACCTTCTTCTTGCTGACCCCGGAACTCTGGCGCAAAAAAGCCATGCTCGGTCGGAATGCCAGGTCCGGGAGAGAGAGCCTGCCTGTCAACAGGACACCACAACCCCAAAGACGCGCTTTACGTCTGTCACGTGCAGCTTTCAGAGTCCAACCCCCTCCAGAGTTCACTCCGGCGATGCCTTTCGGGACGCTTAGGAAGGCGGGGAAACGACACGTGGGCGGCGGGAGCAGCTGCAGCTGCAGCAGCAGCGGCGGCGGCGGCAAGAACTATAACAACGACAACTGGCTTTGTTCAGAGGAAGTCGCCAGTCCCTTCACACTCACGGGAGCCTGAGTGCAACAAGGAGAAAGTATCTGCACACACACACGCCACCTTCGGATGTCCTGCTGTTCCAATCTATTAGATTTGAGAAATACGGGGATGCGTAATGTATCTTCTGGATTGTACTAGATTGAGGATAGTTTATTTCCTGGTCATCAGGTATCCAGGATTGTTAGTATTCCACAGTCGCAATGAAATGTCATTAAGAGATGAGTTCTATTTGTTTCCTGTTATTTCACTTTAACAATAGAAAATGAACAACTCGTCTTTTATGAGCAATTTCTAAAAACACCATATAACACCAAGATCCCGTATGTAATTTTCTGTAATGTTTGCACCAATGTTGCAAGGCACGGAATGGCAGTAGTTGTTGCAAGCTCTCTTGCAGCTAGCATATCTGAAAATACAGCAAAGTAAAATAATCTGAGAGGTTATGAGGAAGGCCATGTTTTGATGATTTTGTTGTCTGTTAGATTATTTTAGTTTGGATTGTCTGTTTCATTTAACATTTTTACCTATTTTTGTTTTCTGTAGTTTTCTATCCGATCTATAATTAACTGGAATTGGGAATCAGTAAATTTAAATAAATAACAATAACAATATTGAAAATATTAGGAAGCATGTTAGACATAAACACCAACAGATTGAGCGAGAGAAAAAGATTTAAACATTCAAAAAGACTCTATTTACAATGAGAACTGCAGGCCCCTATGACAGTTTCCAAGATTTTGTGTTTTATTTCATTAAAACATCTTATTTTTTGCAATAATTGTATTAAAAATTACACAAATAAAACTGAAAAGTCTACATAGAGTAAAAATATATTAAGAAATGAACAGAGCAGAAGAAAGGAAAAAATGACCATCTCTTCCTCCTCAGCAAGTACAATCAACCCCAACAACTTACCGCCATTTCTCAAATGAAAAAAACCTCAATCACTTCTTCATCCCATACCTCAAACACATTCTCTACAATCAAATCTTTAAGGTTTTACCACTCCATCTTAACAACAAAAGTGCATTCAGGTTATCAGAAATAACAACATAACATACAAATTATATTAATAAACATTTTTGAATCTCTCATTTTTCATTTATCTGTACATTTCATTTTCTATTTAAACAAATCTCCCTATCCCATTTTCAAATAAAGTTTTTAAAACATCATCATACAGTCCTAATCAGCAAAAATCCACTAAACCTTACCAAAAATAGCAGCCCATTTATATGAACCTTGAGCAATAAATCAATTTTGTGGTTTCTTTTCTTTTTCCCCACACTTTTTAGTTCCCTCCAGTGAAATCCAAACATCTCCTTTCTCATATTCTTTTTTTACCAATTCTCTTGTTATTGGCATCTTTATCTAATTTCGTTTGTAATTCCAGCATTGAAAAGTTCTCCATGTCGCTGTTCACATTCTCACTGTCACTTCTTATGAAATCTTTGACAATTCCAACAAATCTGTTTTTTAAATTCATTGAAAAGAAGTTACCACATCACTCTTCTGGTTTAATATTTGTAACGCGTTGCTGGGGCTCAGTCTGGTTAAATGGAAAAGAAAGAAAAGAAAGCGCACGTTTGTAATATGTAGCGTGTGTTGCTTTTACATCCAACAGATGGCGCTCCTTTTTCAAAAACATGTTTTTACCTGTCACAGGTGTGACATCTATATAATATAGGTATATAAAAACACGCGCGTATTCGAATGCAACGTTGTGTCAAAATTTCAAAGCAATCGGTGAAGAACTTTCGGAGATTTAAGATTTTGAACAAACGAACATTTACATTTTTATTTATATAGATTATTAAATCATCTTCCAGTTTTATTTGTAAGTCTATTATTTCCAATTTTTTCTCATAGGCTATCATTTTTAAATTCACATTCCAATTAATTTCAGTTTTATTCAGTGGATTGCTCTTCATCAATATCAGTTTCCAAGTTCTGTAGTAGCAGATTACACCTTTAGCCCATTCCCCCCAAATTTCCTTTATTTCCTTCTAGTGCCCTCTGGTGTCCACCCTTCACGTCATTTTATTAGTTGTTTAGATATAAGCATACAGACATTTCCTATGAAAAAAGGATTATTTTAATTAATTTGTTTTAGACTTTAGTTTAGGTAGACTTGGGGATCACTGATCAGGTAAATTTTGAAAGATTTTAATTACGACACTATTAGAAAACCCATGTCTCATGTCTCATGTCTCTTCTCGTTGTTTCTACTAATCCCCTGACCTCCGATTTCGTATATTCCTTTCCGACGACCTTAAGCCATACAGATCAAATTACTTCTCTTCCTGGAGGGGGGACATGATAGCAGTATTCCAATATCTCGGGGGCTGCCACAAAGAAGAGGGAGTCAAGCTATTTTCCAAGGCGCCTGAAGGCAGGATAAGAAGCAACGGATGGAAACTAATCAAGGAGAGAAGCAACCTAGAACTAAGGAGAAACTTCCTGACAGTTAGAACAATTAACCAGTGGAACAACCTGCCTCCAGAAGTGGTGAATGCTCCAACACTGGAAGTTTTTAAGAAGAGACCGGACAGCCATTTGTCTGAAGTGGTATAGGGTTTCCTGCCTGAGCAGGGGGTTGGACTAGATGACCTCCAAGGTCCCTTCCAACTTTATTATTATTGTTATTATTATTATATATATTCTAAAAAAAGCTGTTACAAAAATTTAAATATATAGTTTTCTTTCTTAACAGTTTAAAGGGGAATTCATCCAGCAAATACAACCTGACAGTTCTTAAAGTTTTCAATCTTTAATATGTAGTATTAAAAAAGTGGACTTCAAAATATAAATTTGAGGTTTGGTCACACCTTTCGTTTGTGAAATGCTACATGGCTCTGAAGTCGATGGAACCTGTTGAATCCCAGCTATTTACAACTTGAAGCAAGTTTCATGCCAGTAGGGTATGTACTACCCACAAACTCCATTAAGGCACAACATTTCAGGCAAAAGATTGTATTTATTCTTTCAAACATACTGTCTTGAGGTAGAAATAAATCAGCTCAGGGACCTCCGGTCCTGTGCGCAGCGCAGCAGTTGAGGGGTTTGGGACTCTGTGCCCTCCAGCTGAGTTTGTTCCTGTTAGGGGACCCTAAATGGGCCAGAAACCGCCCTGGAGAGGTGGCAATGAAGGAAGGAAGTCCCAGGGACCTTGGAGAGACAGCGGTTGACCCAATCGGTCCAGGAGAAGCCTTCCAGAAACCAACAGGAGAAAGGCTAGCCTAACTTCACAGTCTAGCCCAAGCTGTAAGCAACCGAAGTCAAAAACACTATTTTAAGCTGATCATAAACAGCGTGCTTAAATCTGGATAAGAACGTCGATTTTCTCTATCCTACCTATCAACTCTCCTGAAGGGGAGAAAAAAAATTCCTAAGAAGCAAAAAACCTGCGAAAGTGAAGGGGGGGTTGCACCACCCATTTGCTAACGGAAGTGGCAAATTGAACCTTTTATGGAGGACTAAAATCTGAAAAATGAACCAGTGCTGACACTTACTGGTGGACAAGGATTATGACAGCTATGGTTTCATGTAGGACTTGGTAAAATCTGGAAAAAATTAATCTCTACTTGTGACCTTCAAAGCTTTAACAATAGAGAACAGCTGTGACAAAAAAGAAAATAATCTGGGTTGTAGATAAAGTGAGACTTACAAACTTTAGGGAACAAAAGAAAAGAACTTTTTTGAACTCTCTGGACTATAAGCAGGGCTTTTTTTGTCATAGAACGCCCAGAACGGAGTTCCGGCACCTTTTTTGGATGGAACCTTGTAGGGTAGGCAAGGCGGGTTGTATGACATGTGTGAGTTCCGGCACCTTTTTTTTTGTTTTTGTTTTTTACAAAAAAAGCACTGATTATAAGTATTTATTTAACTCTGACCTCAAAGCTATTTTCAGAGGGGAAAAAAAATCTGGATTCTTGGTCATCACGGAAAATCAAAGATTTATAGAAAGAACCTATCAAGAAAAAATAAATACTTTTCAAGAGGAGACATATGATATGTTGCAACTAATTCAAATAATAATGATTTCAAACCACAAAGAAATCCAAAATAACTTTGAAAATATAAACCAACTCATCTCCAATTCAATTTTATACCAAAAAAAAATCCCAGGAAAATACAACAGAGAAGGAACAGATAAAACAGATAACTGAACATAAATTTGAGGATAGAGACTTAAAGATGCAATTCTACAAAACAAAGAAGTATGATTTAATAAAGACAACCTATATTTCAACACTACAAAATAAACTTGAGGATAAGAAAAAAGACTGGATAAAACAGACTGCAGAGATGCCAGGGAAAACGCTAGAACTGGAGAGACAAAAAATGACAGGAGAAGCAGAGAGAAAAAGAAGGAAAAAGATTCCTTATACTTATGTATGCTCAGAATTCCTCCCTCCTCCCCTACCCCCCAAATAAGATATACAAATGTTTAGGCAAGAATGTCAGTGTAAATCTTAAAGAGAAAGATGACTCTCCAATGTTCCCCTTGGGTGCTTTTTAAATGATCTTTTAGATTCAATCAGAGGCTCTTTATTGCTCCTTTCACGTCCCTTCTCTATGAATATAAAATCTCTTAAGTCACTTTTTAGGTTTCCTTTCTAGACCTTTCCACTGAAATAGAATGGTGCCCAGCTGTCATTAATCTTCCTCGAAAGTTCCAGCTTGATTCTCTTCCTCCGTCAAATATCATGGATTCCTTTTTCTACAATGTGGTCGGCTAGTATACCTACATGCTATAAGTCAATGTCAATAGAGCCAGAGAAGCCCTGTGA